AACTTTATTGAGAATTTCATACATGCATATAAGGTGTTTTGATCAAATCCATGCCCACTCCCTCCCTTCCAACATTCCTCCCTCTGAAGAGGTAACCCTAATTTTTTTTTGCAGAAAACTTCATTTTTAATGCAATTGACATTAATTTGTTTGCACATGCATTTCTAATCTCTATATATCAACTAATAGTCACAGTAAGTTACTTTCTGAGCTCCTTGGCATCTGAGCATGGATATAAAGTCGTCAGGTAGATTTCAATGGTAATGTTTTTCACATCTATTAATGTATTTTTTATCAATTTTAAAAAATCTTTAATATTTATACATGCTACATGCTCCCAAATACTTTTGACATTTTTGGCCTTTGGAACAGAGTATGTTGCTTAAGGGGCCCAAGGACATTTTGACTTTTAGCCAAGAAATGGCTACATTTCTTTACGGCTTTTTTACCCTAATTGCCTAGCCAATTCCTACCTCCTATTCTTACCACACCATCATCTGAAGGGGTTACCCAAATTGCCAATAGGGAATAGGGACCCCAAATACTTTTGACATTTTTGGCCTTTGGAACAGAGTATGTTGCTTAAGGGGCCCAAGGACATTTTGACTTTTAGCCAAGAAATGGCTACATTTCTTTACGGCTTTTTTACCCTAATTGCCTAGCCAATTCCTACCTCCTATTCTTACCACACCATCATCTGAAGGGGTTACCCAAATTGCCAATAGGGAATAGGGACACAGACTGCTCTGGCTTCTTCCATGCTGAGTAGGGACACAGGGTGAGGCACCAATTGCATTTTTACATTGAAATAAACTGTCTTACTTTGAAACAGTCACTAGTGAACTTGCCTAGGGAAAAGACCATACTGGTCCCACCTAATTTTGTCATCGTCATTACTTTCCTATAAGAACTATCAAATATTTATAGATTGGAAAAGTTCTGTTTGAAGGAGTCCTATTTATGAGGACCCCTGAGATGGATTCTGAAAAGTGTGTAAAGGCTGCAGAAAGGGCACCTGGGGGGAGGGAACAGCATAAGCCAAAGTCAAGGGACAGCCATGCCTCATGATATCACCTAGAGGCTATCTACTACTACTACTGCTAACTTCAGGGATAGCAAGGTGATTTTTTTCCGGATATCAGGTACTGGAAGATAGTCAGCTGCATGTTCTCCTTTATTAAAGACCAATTCTTTTGATTCATCTATTTCTGTGAAATGGAGACAGAAATAGGAGACTAACTGTTCAGTAGCTCCCAGGCTCCATTTTCTTCTGCATTTGTGCTTTACATTCTCCGTCAAGTTGCATCCTCCTGGTAGTTTTGTGAAGGATGCCTCATAACCCCCATTCATGTGTGAGCAAACTGGAGTTCAGGCAGGTTTAAGCACAGCCTGGTTTGCCCAAGCAAGAGTTTTTGAGCCTGTGTCAATTCTCTTAACCACAATTTGTCATCTTTTTAAGCCACTGGCTTCTGTCATCATCAGTATTTCACCTTCTTAGAAGAGGCACTAGCAATGCCCCCCAACACTTGGGATCCTGGGTTTTCTAGACCAGTACAATTAGCCACCCATGATTATTGAGCCCTTGAACATGGCTGTATGATTTGTGAAAGTGGCTAACATTTGAATTCTTTTTAGTTTTGATTAATTTTAGTTAAAAACAGTATTTATTTTGGACACTGAGCAATGTTAAGCACATCTAAATAACTCCAGTACTAGAATCTACTCATTTCTCTATAATTTTATAACATCTAAATTCAAATCAAATATCTGATGAAAAGTTAACATCAGAATTGAGGTACACTCCGTGAGTAGAATATACTTTGGATGTTGAGGACACAGGACAAAATAAATAATGTACAACCCATGAATTTTATATTGATTTCATTTTGAAGTAATAGTGTTGTTATATTTGTCTAAATAAAAACTAATTTCAACTATTTCTTTTTACTTCTTATATTCAGTATCAGGAAATTCAAAATCACTCATGTGACCCATGTAATATATCTACTGAGTAGCACTGTGTGGGAGAAAACATGTCTTAATTTTCAGATGATGAATCTAGGTTTTCTCTGTCTTAAAGAGAAGTTGACCATTGTATGAAGACAAAACTTATTCATGTCTTTGTTTCAAAACACATAACCTTGGGGAAATCGTGTTTCCAAGAAACTGGGCAAAATTCCTTCACATCCCAGCTTACTATGATCGCATTAAAATCTTCAGTTTCAAAGATACTAATTATCCTCTTCTATGTAGAGGAGATTTTGCATGTAACATAGAAAAACTATATTGTAATGACCTTTGTTACTTTAGTAGTAGTATAAGCTTGATTCAAAAGTTAACAAAATCAATAACTGTATTTTTCTAGATAAAATTTAAATGTGTGTTTGTGTGTGTGTGTGTGTGTGTGTGTGTGTGTGTGTGTGTGTGTGTGTGCAGTCCCTGACTTATATCACGTCAACTTACAGTTTTCTTTTCATGGGTGCAATGGCCATGTTTTGTCCAGAAGGAAATGTTTTACCGTACTCCTCCCCATCCTCTGGCTCTTACGTTCTTTCTGTGTCCTCTTCCGTGATGTTTCCTGAGCCTTGGAGGGAGTAATATAGATGCTCTATTCAGAGTTGAGCACGCAGGATTCACTCATTCTTAGCACTCTGACCGGATTTGAGTATCTACTTTAACTTCCCACTGCAAGCAAGCTTGTCTTCTCTAAGAATACACTAGTTCCACGGATATAAACAAGGCAGTTTGACATCATACCCAGGTAGGTTCCCCTCTAAGGCCTCTGATCTCCCCAACGACGGCCTTTTGATCAGGTTTACAGTACCATGCATGAAATTCGTCCTGTAGAATGGGCCTCAAATATAACCAGAAAGCAATCAATTACCCCCATAGCAGTCATGCTGCTATTACACCAGTAGGCACATCTTGCCTGATAGGGTGGTATTATAGTTTGCAGGGTGAACAGCTCAATAATATTATTGATAAATTTTCTCCCCTAGCAGTCCTTATAGCACCTTATGGCACTATGGAAGCTAGACAGCTGGGAAGAAGCTTTCAGATCATTGCTAGTTTGTTTTCTCTATGTCTTGTAAGTGTGCTGTGTCTTCAGCAATAACTTAGGACTTTTTTACTTCATACTCATATGAAAGGGTACCCACATAATCATGCTTTTAGAGTCTTAGTACTGTAATAACATGAGAAAGTCAGAGCCTTATTAGAAAATAGAATTTGTGTTGAATGGTTTTAATGAGCTCTGGACTTATGTTAGTATTCTAAAAGTGTTTCAGATAAGTTGGGCTGAGCCACAGTGGCCAATAAGGTAAGTGTATTAAATCAATTTTCAGTATGTAATATTTTCAACTTATGATGAGCTCATCAAGGCACAACTTCCTTATAGCTCAAGGCTCATCTGAATTTATACTTACACAGATGTGCATACTCATATATATGCATATGCACATACATGTAAAATGCCACTTTTGCTTTTGTATTTGAGATGGGCAAACTGATTAAATAACTCGCCTATACTCATGTAGCTTGTAGAGCATAGAGCTTGGATTCAAGGTGAAATCTGCTTGGTTTCATGTCTGCCTTCAAACATCTCTAATGTTAAGGTCCAAAGATTCTCTGTGGAATCCTCCAAAATATCTGTCTTTTTAGTAGCCAGCTGTCTGTGCCTGGATTACTACTGAACTGGTGCTAAAAGGAAAGGACCTCAGTGTCTGTGTGACCTGAAATCTGCACAAACTTCAAGGAACTTCTAGGTGAGAGGTTATGAATTAGTCTCCCAGATGAAAGGGAAGGCTACTGCTCATTAATTTGAACTTGTTTCTGTTACTGAGCTCTGATTCATTCTTAATTGCATTGTTTGAAATGACTAAATAGTCTAAACATTAGCGAGCTGCTAAGTGTTGCTCAGCCTTGGTTAAGTAGGGCATCTTTGGCTTACGAGTCATTAAAATCATAAAATTCTTAGGCCTCCTCAGGGGACTGGGTCATCTCCCCATGGGTGGATGGGTCTAAACCCGACAAACCCCACCAAATGAGAAGTCTACCCCTTGTGGGAATCAGATCCCACTTCCTGTGAGTGGCACATTTCCACAAACAATGCTAAAGAAAGACCAGGCTGACTCAGCACAAAGAAGTCCCTCCGGCAGTGGGGACCAAGAGAAAGTCCGGAAACATGACAAAGAAGAGGGAGATTTACACATCGACGGCCTTGACAGAGCACATTTTCCTAGGTCCCAATTCCTCCTCTATCAATGGAAGGGAACATCTCTGCATTACCCTTTTCTACTTAAGTACTTGGGCAGAAAAAAAGGTGAGATGGTATCTTGTAAGGGTTTTGGAAAAGTTAAGAAACATCAAAATGTAAAACATTGTTGGCTAGATATTAATAATATTATCTTTCAGCACATGTGGTTGTCATTCGGTCTTTGTACATGACACATATTCATGGTTAATTCCATATCACATTTCTAACCCTATGTTTAAAATGAACACCTCCAGAGTATGCCAGGAGTTTGTGAAAGAGCCAGTAGCTGAGAAGAATGCAAATTGGGCCCCAGCCATGGCTGACTTTCTGATACACAAGAGGTCAGGTAAGATCAAGACTGTTCCATGTAAATGGACAAGCTCAATTTTAAGTATAAGTTGAGGGCATGGAATATTGGAAATCCTGGATTGGACTTGACTACCTGAGAACTCATGGTCAACGGTTCTAGGGAACTTCCAGGAAAATGTGTTTCTAGGTGGTGCTTAGGTTGCTGGCCCACAGCCTGTACATTGAGAAGAACTGTTGTAGATGACCTTGGCATGCTCACAGCTATTGGGACTATTCTACCCAGCTCCAGACTCTTTGTGTACCTGGACAGCAGGCTGGTGCCTCCAAGGAACACCATCATCTCAAAAGTAACCAAGTCCATCCCCAGTGACTGCAGTGACTCCATAATTAATCCCCTGTCTCAGAGGTTCTTATGACCACACATAAATTCACTTTAAAATCAGCACTGGTGCAAACATACAGGAATCCATTTACCACAAAGACTGACAGATTTCAGAATAATGTAGTGTCAATAGCCCACCCTAGGACAGACTGTGGAGGGCTTCGGGAAGAAAGCCTGCATGGACATGTACATCTGTGAGAGAAACGGGGAGAGAGGCTTTCCCACACTCTGCCTTTCCACATGATGCCTTGCCTGCTTGTTGAGAGCTGTGGATCCGTGAAGGGGGCCCTTTTAACTCCTTCCACATGCTGAGCCACTCAATCAGGCTGGTGAGCTGTAGACACAGGAACTTTCTTTCACAGGGAACATCTGGACAAGGCACAAAAGGAATCTGTCACATGGATTGGTTGCCTGCCTCAGCTGTGTCCAAGTAAAGAAGATGTTCTGCACATCCAGTGGAAGAATCAGAGCATATGTGTTAGATTTTTCAATCTGAAAACAGGTAAAGTATCCTTCACTTAAATTATCAGTGTGAAGATCTGCCATTGAGGGACCACGAGAAAAAAATTCCAGACGAGGATAATGACTCAGTAAAGCCATTTGTTGTAGCTGACAATCATCTGAGGACAGAGAGGTCACAGTCTTTGGAGTATGTGGCTTCCAGCTGTATTAATCTAGCTAAAGTAATAATATGCATGTCTGAGTTCATTTACTCTCTGGATTAATGCTATATCCTATTAGCCTAATACAGCATTAGCCTGATTTAATAAGCAAGTATTAGCTTGGGGTCTCCTTTCAGGGTCAGGTATCATTTGTACAGCAGTACAGTATTTTCATGGTATGAGACAATGGAGTCAATGTTTCCCTCTCCAAATACATCCTAATAAATAGGGGTGTCTTTGTTCTGCAAACAATATAAGGCCACCTAGAAGAGATACAAAATTTTGTCTCCTCCCTCCTACCTATCCCTCTTCCCCTCCCCACTGTGTCAGGATCAAACATCTATGTCTACCTCACCATCAGAGGCCTTTGGCAGTCTCTGCATACCTTTCTGTCCTGTCCCAGGGGAGTCAGGTAGAATGTTTAATGTCCTTCCCAGCTCCCAGATTCTAAGACTGAAAACAGAGCCTTAATATTTGGGGAGATGCCTCCAGCCTACCACACTCCCTGGACTCTCCGTGTAACTGAACTTACATCATGTGTGAGTGGAAAAGTATGATTATGACTGGGAAAGAACATGTCAGTCAGGGTCACATTGGTGTCAAGACCCTGGGAAAATGCTAGAGGTCAGTAGTTTTCCCAGAACAGAAACTTACAGAGCCATTGTGCCAGGAAAGATCCCCAGGCCTCTTGCATGAAACCCAAACAGAATTTGCATAATTTGCATGTGAGACTGAGAGGCCTCACTCACCTTGAACGTGACCAATGATGTAATTACTACCTCTGTGCACAGCTGTCACGGGAGCTTCTGTGCATCTTTCCCTTCTAGGGCCCTGACATCGACCTTCAACAAGTCCTCACCAACTCCTTCAGTAGTCTTCCGCTTGGGTTGCTTTGCCTCCGACGTTTCTCCTCCCGGTCTTGTTTCTGCCTTCTCAATGATAACCGTGTATTAATGCGGTTCTGAAGAAGACGCTCCTCTGCCCCAAAGCTTTTCATAGCTCTGCATCGTCTAGAGAACAAATCCAAATCTTTGTGGTTCAAGGTCCTCCTCCACCTCCCCCTTTCCTTCATGACCCCTCTGCTTTCTTCTGCCGCAAGTTTAGAGATCTTCAAACGTACCATGACTTTTGTCACCTCTGGACCTTTGTTTGGATTCCCGCCACCGCCACCGGGAATGCTCTGATGGACCTCCATCTGACTTTCATTTCCAAGTTCAGAGTCCTCCTTTACCAGAGCACTGTCCCCGTGTCACCCACTGGAGTGAGTTTCTTTCTGGCGTCAGTGCCCTGTCTGTTTTGTTGAGTTGTGTCTGTCCGGCATCCACAGTAGAGTTTGAGTCCTGAAGCAAGAATGCTATGTGGGTCAAATATTTCCTACAGTCTGTAGTCTGTATTATCTCTATATATTTGAAAAATTCTTAAGTCTAAATAAAACTTTGCCTACAAGCACTCACAGGAAGTTTGAAACAGAGTGATGTTGCCAACTACCAATGTGAAGAAGTAACTGCATGAGCTACATACCCATCACTGGCCTTGGCCAACGATGATCACAGCTCATGGTGCTTTTTCTAAGGACCACTTCTGACTTTCTGGCTCCTTGCCCACACAGCACACTTAGCAATGAGGTTGGCCTGTTCTTGCCACCCAGCATGTGCTATACAATCTTAAATTCTAGTTTTCTTCCCTCCTTTCCCTCATCCTTATGACCAGCATTCACGGAACTTCTAAGGGAACCTTTGGAGAAGGTCCATGTTATAAAAATTAGAGGTTTTCTAGACTTTCAGAAGCAGCTAGTTATAAGGCAGGTCAGAGTTCAGACAGAAATCTGAGACATACTTCTGTTGGGGCGATCCACCTGGCTCTGCTTCAACTCAAACAAAACAACTTAGTTTATAGTCTGGTCCAGACATTGGTGAGGTTGTAAGAGGATCAAGGCTCAGGCTAAAACTAATGAGAACCCATATATACCATCTTAACTCTTAGAACACTGGAGAGTGGGCACCAGACAAGGTTTCCCCTTTAATATTAAACCATTCTAACAAAGAAAGAGTTCACATTTGGGAGAATTTTCCAAAAGTTTTCTTCTTCTAAAACTTTTTTTTCCCTGTATATGGAAAAAGCCAGTGATACTGGCTTGATATTAAGGAGCTACTAATACCTCCACAGCTGTATTCACACTACAAGATCTGGACAAAAAGGGCTAGCATGATCCTGTGGTCTCAGATGTCCTCCAGCTTCTGCTCAGGTACCATGACATGATCAAGACCTCAGAGACATCCCCAGAAGGAGCTTGTTAGTACCAAGAATAGAAGAATCTAGAAAATCATTTTCTTTTGCTTTGGCTAGTTCAACAACAACAATGAAGTCAAACGAGAAGGAATTATACTTTGCCTGTGAGTTCTGAGTAATGCCTGACATTCGTTATTTACTGACACCTACTGAGAGCAGATGCTGCTGTAAAAATCATTTTCTTTTGCTTTGGCTAGTTCAACAACAACAATGAAGTCAAACAAGAAGGAATTATACTTTGCCTGTGAGTTCTGAGTAACGCCTGACATTCGTTATTTACTGACACCTACTGAGAGCAGATGCTGCTGTGTGTACTGGAACTTTAGCAGTGACTTACTCCAGAACTGCCATCCTCAGAGGACTGACATCCACTACATGATTGCATGCTGCAGGTAACATTTGCATCCAACATTGCCGGGAAAGGACAAAGAAGGTCGATTTATGCAGAAGTGGACAAAATAACCCTTTAAATACTATTTCCTATTCATGTGCACTTTGGATTTCCTGGACACATGCCCAGGTTTGGCTCCTCCCCTGACTTCCTGCTCCTTTGATGGCTCCTGTGTGTGTGTTTGAGTTACCTTACTTATTACCCTCTCTGAGTCACCGTTCCTTCACCTCCCACCTCCCAAGCCCTGGGAGTAAGCCCCCTCCTTCCCTATACTTGCCCTAGTCCCAGATTCTTCTTCATTGTTGTGCTTTCCCTAACAGCAACTGGCCTATGAATGACTTTTTTTTAAAGATTATATTTATTTTATGTGTGTGTTTGGCAGCATGTATGTATGTGTGCCACGTGCGTGCAGTATCCACAGAGGTCAGAAGAGGGAGTCTTTTCCCCTGGAACTGGAGTTACAGGTAGTTGTGAGCTACCATATGGGTTCTGGGAATCAAACCAGGTCCTCTGCAAGACCAACTAGTGTTCTTAACGCTGAATCATCGCTCCAGCCTCTGGCCTATGGATTGTTGCAACTCCATCAATAATTTCTTGCTGGGAGATTGCAGTTGCTTGATAGCTGCTAGATGAATGAACTGAATGGAGCTATTTAAGGAAGATATTATTTAGGAATAAAATCCAAAGATGACAGAATTATCATGCAATTCTATTTCTCTCTGAAAGCAAAAGAGTCCAACACAAAACAAAACCACGTAGAAACTCTGTTTAACATCAAGTGCTTCAGATTGTTTTGGGGCGGATCCGATACTGTCACCATTGATCAGAATTAGTTTTTCAGTTTAGGAAGTGTTTTGCATCTTCTGTACCAAGTTGTGTTTATCAGTCAGAGGAGTTAGTTCATTTCACCCATGTTGTCCTCCCCAGTAGAGTGACTTCAGGTATCCTTGCTATAGATCAAGGACATTACAAGGGCATTTGTTCAAAAGCAAATAAAACTGAGCTTCAATCCTGTATGCCTGGGTCCCTTGTCTGCTTGGTGCCAAAAGCAAATGGCTTGGTGGTTTCACAGCTCAGGTTGGCTTTTGTTCTCTGAATTCAGCATCATATGAAGACAGAACATAGCCTAGAGATGTACTTAGAGCATCCTCTTGTTTCTGAGATGACTCAGGCCGTGGAGAGTGACATCCTTGATAATTAATACCATGAATGAAATTAAGTCCAGGCTAGTAACTTTAAACAGTCAGCTGTTAGTGTAGGGAGACTGGAAACCCCTGTGGCCTTCGTGGAAAGTGAAGGGAAGGCTGGGGTGCTCTGAGAACCTCCTTCCCCTGTCAGCCCCTGGCTCTTCATCAGACCCCTTCCTACTCCTCTGTTACCTTGAAGTCCTTGTACTCACTTAGAAAGCAAAATTAGTGCCAACTGCAACCTGTGAAAATAGCTCACATCTTTGTTTACTTATAGATTCTATATAAGTGATTTTCATATTACAAGAGGTATATAAAGGAGGAATAAAAAGATTATTGTCTTGTTAAAATGGCTACTAAAGCCAACAATTTTTTTGCTACATTTGTATCACAGCAAAAGGTTGGGTTCAACTCTCCCCCATTCACACACCTTTACTAACAGTGACTGAAGAAAGATAAAGCCGGTTGAATATAAGACAGGAATGGTTGGAATATGCTTTAATATTTTCCTTTCTGACTTGTTTTTCCCTTTCGGAAACTGATAAGAGATGATATTTTTTAATTGCCCTCATTTTTTAAAGGTTATTTTGTAAAACTGGTGATATCTTTACATATGTGTGAAAGTACAGATCTTCAAACTTTTGGAGGACTTTTCCAATGGAAGAAACCTACAATGCATATCTTACCAAATTGTTTGGGGATTTTCCACGTTTGTGTGTTTGGGCATTTTTCCCTCTTAAACATCCAAACCTAATAATCATGGCAGAACTTTAAATATTTTCCATACTTTGTTTCTGAAATTTTTTCCTTACAAAGAGCAAGGATATGGGGAAAAGAAATTTCCACAGCCAAGCTGTTACTGATGGTTACCTCTGGGTTAGTGTACCAGACCTTAGAGTCAAACAGAGAGAGGAGCTCTAGTAGTGTCCCCATTTCATT